TGTTCCAAAGGCCATTTCTGAGAAGTTCATAATTAAGGACAGTGCCCATCTAAGGAGTATAATTTAGTTTCTACAATACTTGCTCAGGATTAACCAAAGTGGAGAAGAGAGGTATTGCAATACAAATTTCATAGTGGCAGTCCAAGGTCAGAAATTACACTAGCCATGTAATATACCCCCCCAAATATATATAATATATAAATAATATACCTCTAAAGTTTTCACACAGATGTCAAAGTGCCATTCAGAAGTATTACAGTTCTCACAGTTAAGCTTTAGCATCCAGTAAAACCAATCCCTTTGTGGGGCCTCCCTTACTCATTAGGCATATTCCAACTCACAAACAAACTGAACTACACCATGTAATTACCCCAACGATCCTTTTCACTGAAAATGGCCTGTTGTGGTACTTGGATAGTGATTAACAGACTAAGAGTGCAGTGAGTCGTCTTGATATCACTTCAGAAAAGTGATTTCCTCCCTAATAATTCCCAAGATACATAAATATTCAATTAGGGTCTTTGAAATCTTGTTTTAATTGGGCATTCATTCTCTACCCAACTTCAAACTTAGGCCAAGCCAAGAAAGGCACTTTATTAGTTCTTACTATAAAAAAAAAAAAAAAAAAAAGAATCCCCATAACTCTTCATGAGTTTTAAAGTGGGAGGGTAAAATAAAGCCACGATTATCTTTTATATGAAATTTTCAAATTTAACAGCATTTTAAAACATCCTGTAAAGCAATGAGGTAAAACATAATTGCGTATCTGAATCACACGGGAAGTTGACTAAAGTTTCCTGGTACCCTCCCGAGACTTAGTAAAAATAATGATGACAGTAGCAAATACTTGCACCTCTATTATTATGTGCCTAGAACTGTTTCAAACACTTTGCCTGTATTTTCCCTTTAAATCTTCCTAAAAATCTATGAATCAGGAACAACTGTATGCCCATTAAAATATATCAGGAAACTGAGGCAATAGAGAGACCCACTATCTTACCCAAAGTCAAATAATTTATCAAACCTGGGCAAACATACCACAGAGTCCCTCCTCTTCACCACCACACCATTCTGTCTCTCCAGATATAAGAATATTAACACCTGGAGCCCAGATTTTAAATATTTCCAGTAGCTCCTCTGCTACTGTCAGCAAATCAGGCTGGAGACCTGCATTTTTAAAGTTTCTATTTCAGTAACTGGGGACCAACAAAAAACTAAAAACAAGCTTTCTACAACTGGAAAGAGAATACTGAAAATGTCAAGTAATAAAATATCCAACCTACTTGTGTCTTTTTAAAGCTAGAACAGTCTACTTATTTTCTTATTCTGATGACTCCTTATATGGTCAGATGGGGTGACACTTGTTAAGTACAAGGAGACAGATCTTGCAGAAGTCAACATCAGCAGTTCTCAGACTCTGGTCCCAGGACCCTTTCAGATGCTTAAAAACTGATGACCTAAAGCAACTTTTGACTATGTTGGTGATAGCTATCAATATTCATGAGCTAATAGTTAAGCTGGGAAAATCTTAAAACACAAGAATATACACACACATGCCATATGCCATCTCAGCAATGATGTCATCACAGATCATGTGCCTTCCGGAAAGCTCCATGGTACACACTCATAAAAGCAGAGGAGAATAAAAGGCAGATAACATCACAGCATTGTGACAAAAATGCCTTTATATACTCTCTGAAAGGGTCTCAGGGACCCACATGTTCCCCCTGAATTCACTTTGAGAAGAGAGAACTACCTGTGCTAAAAAACAAAAAATAAATAAAAAATAAAAATAAATGACCCACAAGTTTCATTGGAAAGAAACATTCAGTTTGGGGGATTTAATTTTCTATCTCAAATAATCTTCCCAATAAACAGAATTACCACCAACATCATTCCATTCAGATTCTTGAACAATATGGACCAAATGTTAACTTCTTCAAATATGTATATATATTCACTACTATGAAGAAATAGATCAATATTAAACTAAATTCTTGTTTTAACTGTCAATAAGACATAAGCAAGACATAAATTATTAAGATCTATAGAATCTCTATGATCAAATATAAGAACTCTCTCCCTCCTCACCCGTTCCCTATTACAATTAATTCTGGAGTATGATGGCTAATTTTTTAATGTATTTGTTAGTACATGAGCACACTTCACAGTTCTAAGAAAAATGTCATACCTGGTTATTTATGCAGTAGTAGAATTAATTTTATGGGGCCACACAGACACTCAGACAGAATGACATTAAAAGGTTCTGGGGGGATATATGCACATCTTAGGACTCATAAATACTATCTAGAGGTATGCTCACAAGACTTTATCAAGCTGGCCAATAAACAGCAACACCAAAATCATAATGAATGAGAAATCTGGATTTTTCTGCCCATTGATAAACCACACACACACACACACACACACACACACAAACACACACACACACAAATGGAGATAACAAAGGGGAAATATCAGGAGAACCTTACATACATTTGAATGTTTTACTTTATATTTTATTGTAAAATATTCTATAAAGAAATACATTTGCATCAAAGACCTAAATGCAATAACAGCCTAAGTGTAAATATGTCCTTGAAGGCAAACAAAGGCTAAATTACAATATAGCCTCTCACTTTAGGGTTTCTCCCTACGTGAACAAATTCACATTTGAATGGAATGCAAATCTAAGAAATCTAAGGGAAAACAGCCATTTGCAAAACTTAAGGAAAGATCACCTCCCTCTAATTCCCCACTGCTCTAGCCATCTACACCATGCTAAATTAAGGCTGCACTTCATTTCTCAAAAATTGCTCTTTGTTCTTAAATACAAAAATCAATCAGTTTTCCTTGCTGATTTCTGGGCAAAAATGCCCCACTTGTAATAGTAACTGTCACTCCTACTTGGCAGCCCTTTTCAGAGAGTTTCAACTGGCGGTTAAAGTACCCCAAATGAAATCTGAAAAAAAAAACAATGGAGTTTAGCATTCTATTATTTGACTAACTTCATTCCTTTTGCTTTTGTAGCATTTTTAAATCTCCTATTCAGGATTTCCTAGGCTACAGCACACCGAAGAATCAAAGGTAAATCCAGACCATAAAAAAATTTGTCTTTCTTAATTACTAGAAACAATGCCAGCCCAGTAGCTGGAGCCAGTACGGTTCACACTTGCTATTATTCCCCGTGGAAAGGAATATTTAAATCTCCAAACTGTAAGATCATTAAGAAACCCTTCCATTCATATTTTTGAGGAGAGCTCTCAATCTGAAGGATAATCACACCAAGCCACTTAAAATGAGACATCAAAAGCATTTACTCATCAGGCAAATCACATGCTGGTTTATCACTCTTCAGGCCAGGGATGCCCGATTCAGCCTAAGAGGTCTAAGAAAAATATTTAAATAGTTCACATAAACCTTTATACTAATCATTCCTCCCATCCCGAGTTTATAGAAATAGTCCAGGCAACCATATACGCCGACGGAGCAGGTTATTGAATATTTAGAGATAGAGAAGTGCTATGGAATGGCATTCAAGCGCTCTGACACATTCACCTTCAGCTAAAGACAGCACAATACAGTGACAGACACAGTTCTAATGACATCAGGACCTGTGGAATGTAGGACTGCTAGGAAACACATGCTGCTAGGAAACAAAGAACAGATCTGATCAAATCTTCTTAATGTAAGGACTGGGAATCGTGATTAGATCTTCCAAAATGAGAGGACAAGTGTTCTTTAATCTTCGGAAATATTTACAAGTGTAGAGATTGTGACACATACCCTCTAGAAATGAAACAAATATATGAAGCTGGGTTCTCATACATTAAATCACAATTCTCTAAGTTTTCTATTAAGATGACAGCCACTGGCAATAGCGCATAAAAACACAACTTAATCAAAACCAGGCATCAATGATTCTGTATTCCTTTTTTTTTTTCCAACCCAAGCTTTTTCAAGAAGTCAACATCTTAAAAAAAAAAAAAAAAAGAAAGAAAGAAATCTAGAAATAATAGTACCCTTTTACATTTACGGTGCTGTACTTTTAAAAGCAAAACAACAGAGTCGTTTGCACCAAACACCAAAGCACTGAGAGCTAATCTACAACTGAGGAATTTAAGAGCTTTTAATCATTGAAACTGGAAAGCAATTTAGCTTTTTAACTTTTCAAAAACTGTTTATCTTTGTGCATTTTTTTAACCCTTTGTACATTGATCACCTCCCCCCCCAAAAAAAAAATGGGAGTGAAACAAGGCTGAGAGATATTTCAACGCAAACATCCTTTTGGCTCCTATATAAATTATCTGAAAACCTCTTGGTGATGCTATAAAAGAACTGACAATTCTATGTGTAATCCACATAGAGACAAACAAACTGGGTCCCAGAACTCCGGGTCATTTAGTGCCATGACGGACTGGGGAGAAAAAAAAACCTATCAGGGAAATCTGGCTAAAATCTGTTTAATCTCATAGGGAAATGAAAAACACGCCCCAAGTGAAAAATCACTCAAGAAGTGTTTGTTTCTCTGCAGATTCTTACAACGACATTCTTCAGCTCGGGTTGACGGCCCAGATGACACGAAATTAGCAGCCCGCACGTTTACTTGGGGGCAAAACGCAGAAGGCAGTTTTTTCCCTTCCTGCCAGAGTCTACGCGTCCCCTCATTCCCCCGGCAGCTGGCTGGAAGGATGCAGCAGCGGAGGCGCAGGGAGGCTTCTACTTCCTAGTGGGTGATCCACCCAGGAAAGTGCACACAGCAGACCCCGCCGGGGTCGGCTTGCAAGGGGCTGTGTCCGGGCTGCCTACACCCTAGTGTACAACGTGCTCCGACTACCGCGGGCGGGCGGGCTCGCACGCGGCACAGGGGGGAGACACCCAGGGGCGCCGCGCACACTCCACTGCGCCCAATCGCTACGGCCGCCCGGGCCGCAAATTAAGCGGCGCACGTTTCCATCGGAGTGAGGGGAGTGACCTGGGGATCCCAGGGCCCAGGGGTGATGCTGGCTTGGCCCGGGGAGCTCCAGCGGCCGGCGCAGGACCGCTCAGCCCCGCGGGCCCCTGGGGGCCGATGTGGGGCGCGTCGGGCGCTGCACCAGACACGCGCCGCGCGCAGCTCGCGGAAGGGCCGGTTCCTCGCGGGGCGGGGGGGGGGGGCCCGGGGAGGGCCCCTCGGCCTCCACCCGCCAGATCCTCCAGGGAAGCGGACCCCAGGCGATTTCCATGAGCGGGCTGGGCTCCAGCGGCATCAGCTCCAGCACCCCCCCCCCGCGCCCCCCGACCTCTCCCGGCCGAGCCCGGAGCGCGCAGGAACGCGGACACGGCCACGCACACGCCCGCCGCCCTGCAGGCTGACCCCGGCCGCGGAGGTCGCCCCCGGCCCCGCATACACACCCGCCGCCCTGCAGCCGGGGGCCCGGCACGCTCAGGGGGCCAGAGGCGGGGGCGGGGGGCAGCGACGCGCGGCTGCAGCTCCCGCAGGGGGCTCCCGGGCGCCTGCCCTCCTACCTGTAACCCCGCCGGCCGCCCGGCGGCCCGGACGCGTGCAGCACCGTCCCCCGCCCCGGGCCACCCACCCCGGCAGCTGCCTCCTGCAGCCAAAACCGCCTCACAAAGCCTGGCCAAGCAGCTCCCAGCCAAACTGCCGCGAAGGGGACCCAGCGGGCGGGGTGCGGAGAGGCAGCGGGGCTCGACGAGTCCGGGGCGCGACCCGGGCGCACGCGGGCCCCGCGCACGGGCCAGACGGGCGTCCGGGGAGGATGGCGGGGGGCTCGGGGGGCTCGGGGGGCCCCGAGCCCAGCTCTCACCGGGTCCCTGTCGGCTCTGCAGCCCGCTCCCGCCGGCGGCGGCGCCCGCTCCGGGCCGATGGGGAGAAGGCGCCCCCTGGTCTGCGTGCAGCCCCCGCCACGGGATGACACTGGCGTGAGACAGGAGGGAAAATTCTCGCGGTGGAGACCCCAGGTCCTATTCCCAGCTGCTGCGCTGCGAACGCGCCGGGGCGGCTCGCCCCCTTCATCCCTCTCGGCCGCCAAGTCGCCCAATTGCCGGAAAAACCCCGACCCGGTGCCAAAGCCCAGCGCCCACCAGCCAGGGGGCTCCCTTCCCACCGCGCATCACGCTCGGATGAGTGTGTGTGTGCAGGCGAGGGGGTGAGTGGGGGGGCGGGCGGGGGCGGGGGCGGGTGCGGGCATCCCGCGCCCCCTCGGTCGCCCGCCCCGCGGACGCCGCCGCCCGCGCCGGGCCGGGGCCGCCACTATTAGCAAGAGTGAGAAGAATAAATTACCTTTTGCAACCGCCGGTCCCGGAGATCGTCCCATCAGCCGCTCAACAACCTGCAGCCGGGTGCGGAGTCCACAATCCAGCCATGGAGCCCGGGGCAAACAGACCGGCCGGCCCGGGAGCAGACACCCCACCGCCCGCGGCAAAGGAGGATGCCCGGGCGCGGGGCCGGCGGCGGGAGGGCGGAGACCCCCCCCCCGCACGCTCGCACCCCCGGCCGAAGAAACAACAACAACAACAAAAAAGTCTCTCCTCCTGCCTTTCTTCTAGTGCACGGCCGCGGAGGAGGGAGCAGGGGGAAGAGATTTCAGAAAAAGCAAAAAGCAAAAAAAAAAAAAAAAAAAAAAAAAAAAAACCAGAAGAAGAAGAAGGAGCCAACGCGTGGTCTTCCTCGGCGTCTTCCGGCTCGCAGCACCCCAACGCGGCGGCAGCGGAGCCGGGGCGCAGGGCTCAGCCGTCCCTGCCGGTCCGCGGGCGCACAAGTTCGCCGGCGGGCGGAGCGCGGGGCAGCAGCCGAGGGAGCCCGGCGGCAGCGATCACCGCGCGGCAGTCACAGCCGAGGCCGCCGCTCCCGCCGCTCCCGCCGCTCCCGCCGCTCCCGCCGCCGCCGCCGCCGCAGAGCAGACGCTGCTGAACACTCGGAAAACCTCCCACCATCCCCCCCGCCGGTCTTTATATCCAGTTCTCCCACCCCGCCCCCTCCGCTTTCTTTTGCTGCTTCTTCCTCGTCCTCCCCTGGCCGCCGGGGTGAGCGAGCAGCGGAACGGGTAGGGGGAGCCGCCGCCGCCGCCGCCGCCGCCGCCGCCGCCCGAGCTCCGGTCCCCGGTCCCCGGTCCCCGCCGAGGGTCTCGTCTCGCGCCCGCAACCTGCGCGCCGGCCGGGGCGAGGGCCACGCGAACTCCTTCCCGGGTGCACGGCGGGGGGGGGGGGCGCGGAGCCCGGAGCCCGGAGCCCGGAGCCCGGAGCCCGGAGCCCGGGGGCTGGCCGCTTAGCTCGCCGGCCGGGCCGGGCAGCTGCGGGCATGTGGGAGCTTCATCGCGCGGCCCCGAGCTCGCGCCGCCGCCGCCGCCGCCGCTCCGCTCCCTTCTCTTCCCCGCCGCCGAGGGCGAGCAGGGCTCCGGCGCTCTCCGCACACGCACACGCACACGCACACTCACACGCGCGCACACACGAGCGAGCTGCTGCCACCCGACCGTGCCAGCCGCGCGCGCGCACACCCGGAGAAAGAGGACGGAGGCAAAAAAAAAAAAAAAAAAGATAATAATAAAAAGAGAGAAGAAAGAAAGGGGAGGGGGCGAGTCACAGGCGGCGGCGGCTGTCGGAGCGCAGGCAACGCGCAGTCCGGGGAGAGCCGGCGGCGGCGGCGGCGGCGGCGCCCACCCGGACCAGCGGCCGCAGCCGCATCCCCGCTCCCGGGAACTGGGGCGAGCGGAGCCGGGCGAGCGGGCGGGCGAGCGGGCGGGCGGGGCGCGGGGGCCGAGCAGCCTGCGCGCGGAGGACGCCGCCGGGGCCCGAGCCGAGGCCGGAATGAGCGTGGGGCCGGCGAGCGCCGCGAGCGCCGGGGGCGGGGAGGGGGCCCGGCGGGGGGCCCGGGCGGCGGGGAAAACCCGGAGCCGGAGCGCGCTCGGGCTCGGGCTTGGGCTCGGGCTCGGGCTCGGGCTCGGGCTCGGCTCGGGCTCCGGCTCGGCCGCTCGCTAACGCGGGGAGGTGGGGACGGGGGCTGCTCCCGAGGCTTCCCGGCAGGGTCTGCCAGACAAAGGGGCCCTGCTCCTGCCTTAGAGGCACGCGCCTTCCCCAGCCTCGCTGTGCCTCTCCCCCTCTCTTCCGCCTCCTCCCTTCCCCTCTCCCTCCCTCCCTCCCTCCCTCCCTCCTCCTCTTCTTTCACTCCACCCCAGGTAAGTGAATTTCAGATTGAAAGTCCTGCCGGTGTCTCTTTCTAGGTGCAGATTTTTTTTTTTTTCCATATTTTCATGATGCAGGTACAGGGTCCCAGTGCGTTTCCTGCCTTGGGTCCACTTTCTGTCCCTCCAAACTTACCTAAATGTGCAAGTACATCGCAGGCTTAAGTATTCTCTGATATTCGGACGTAGGGATTTAATGGTTTTATTTCATGATCAGTAAAGATCACCGTGACTGATACTGAGCGGTGCCGATCCCTCAGCCAAGCCTCCCGCCGGAGGGGACCGTCAGCTCCAGTTAAGCGAGTGACCTTGGTCGATTACTGAGCCCCTTTGTGCTTTCTTTGTAAATGAGAGAGAGAGAGAGAGAGAGAGGTTAGCAGGTAACCAAAAGGTCTTTTCCTTTTTAAAATGTCATGATCTGGAAAGACTGAGGTGTTATTTTCTGTATCAGTAAATTCAAGTTACAATTATGAGGGAAACTAAGATTTATTATATGCATTCAGCAAGCACATTCTATCCGAATTGTATCTGGATGTCTATATTCAGGATGATCTAAAGCCCCTCCAGAGCTGTTTGGGAGGTAGAATGAACCCTGCTCCATCATTAGAATTAACAGACCAGGGTAGCTTAGTTGGTTAAGTGTCTGCCTTGGCTGGGTCATGTTCCTAGGGTCCTGGGGTGAGCCCTGAATCCCACTGTCTGGGAGTCTGCTTCTCCCTCTCCCCCTGTTTGTTCTCTCTCTCTCTCTCTCTCTCTCTCTCTCTCCCAAATAAAATCTTAAAAAAAAAGAAGAAGAAGAAGAATTAACAGACCATACCCAATACAAGTGACTATCAAAATCTCATTAGTTCTTCAAGGCTCAATTCTAGTGCCAAATGCTCCAGAAAGCCTTTTGTCATCAACCCCAATCAAAATAGTCACCCCTTCTATTATATTCCCACAGCACTTTGATGGTATATCTATGATAACGCCTTCTTCATTCTGCTTTTTTTTTTTTTTTTTTTTTTTTTTTTATTTTATGATAGTCACACACAGAGATAGAGAGGCAGAGGCATAGGCAGAGGGAGAAGCAGGCTCCATGCACCGGGAGCCCGACGTGGGATTCGATCCCGGGTCTCCAGGATCGCGCCCTGGGCCAAAGGCAGGCGCCAAACCGCTGCGCCACCCAGGGATCCCTTCATTCTGCTTTTTTATTGTTCTTTTAAAATAATGAGTTGCTTATCTATGTGTCTCCTCAAATTATAGGACTTCCTTAAAGGCAAATTCCAAATTTAATCATCTGTACAACGTAAGATTACCATGTATCCACAGAACTTTGCACGATTCCTTTTTTAAAAAATGGGAGGGAGGGATGTCTGGGTGGCTCAAGTGGTTTAGTGCCTGCCTTAGGTCCAGGACATGATCCTGGAGACCTGGGATCGAGTCCTGCATCAGGCTCCCTGCATGGAGCCTGCTTCTCCCTCGGCCTGTGCCTCTGCCTCTCTCTCTCTCTCTCTCCTCTCTCTCTCTCTCAGTCTGTCTTTCATGAATAAAAAAAATAAAATCTTAAAAAAAATAAAATAATAAAAAAAATTTTAAATGGGAGATTTCATGATATTGCTAAATTCTGACCAACCAGATGTTCACACAGTTAAATTAGGCTACTTAAATTTGCCTAATATAAGGTATCCACAAAGTCCCCTGAGTATGTAAAGAAAATATAAACTGACGTCTGAAGTCAGTTGTTCCTTAAATAATTTTGAAAATAGTAGACTTGTGATTCGACTGTGACAAAAGGCTCTTATTTATAAAGGAGGCAAGATGGAAGTTCATCTCCCAAATGGATATATGTGGAAAAGCAATAAAATAATAAAATGTGGAATGAAAGATACTGTATAGATACTAAATGTTATTAGCATTAGCGATAGCAGCAGAAACAAACATAAATAAATACATAGTACCTATAGACCAGCTTTCAGAATCAGTCTTATCACATCTTGACAGGTCTGGAAGGACACGGGAGAGAATTCAAATTAATCTCAAAATGGAAATTAATATGTCAAAATATAAAATATACTAACTGAAAACTATGCATATTAAGTAATTAAATGAGACATAGTAACCAAAAAGTAAGCATATTAAGTTAAATAGTTGAAAGTACTCACCAAAGAACTGACCACAAATAAAGTTACAAACAGAAAATGAGAAGAAAGAACTGAGTAAAAAATAACTGATAGCTATTTAAGAAAAGCAGGGAAAGGAAGAGATAGGTTAATTATTTATACAATTTAATCTAATATCAATGTAGCAGCTTTATAGCAGCAACCTGTATTTTGGGTTCAAACTTCAGGCTTTCGTTTTTTTTTTTACTCTGATAGGCATAGACTTCTGTATTTAAGATATAAAGAATTCTATTCCATTGCCAGGAAATCCATGACTCCTGCCAATATTTTTCTAAGACGAACCTTCTAGAAAAATAAAATCAAGCAATTCTGTACCTTTTTTGCTATACGACTATATTTGACTGTTAAAACTTCTCAGGGACAAGATAACATCACAGATGAGGTTTGAGCAAAGATGCTATTATACAGGGTAGTGCTGTGTGCTAGAGTGGTTTTTGAAAATGATGGCGTGATTGGCTTTAGCCCTATAAAACTTGAAAAAAATCTGTATTTGACATGTGGAAATGAACCCCCCCCCAAAAAAAAAATGTAAAAAGCTGAATATCCAATCAAATAGGATAATCAATATGAAAATATTTTAATGACTAGTAAAATTCTCTGACCAAATGACTCTTTCAAATTAATCAGTACACTGAGATCCCTAACAGCATGACAGCTAGGAAATGAACATGGATAAAACATTCATAGAATAGGTAAACACAAATAAATAACCAATAAATGTTGGGAAGGATGCCCTACCTATACAAAAAAAAAAAAAAATCCCATGCATAAAAATATACGCAATTACAAGATCTATCCTGTTTCATGTTTTGCCCAGGAAATTAGCTGAAAAGTAACAATGCCCTACTACTAAACTGTAGCAAAAGTACCTTGAAACAGGCTTACTTTTATGCTAATAACATACATTGACACACTTTTCTGGGAAGAAAGTTGAAGATATGTGTCAACTGGTTTATAAAATTGTATGTCATTAATCCAGTGTTTCTATTCACAGGTATCGCTTCTACAGAAATAAACAGAGGTCTGGACAAGGATTTTCTACAATGGTATGTGTCTCAGTCATAATTGTTATATAAAGGGAGTGAGTATGTAAGGTATTTATAAATTCAGAGTGATCCTGTTTCTTCATGCTCAGTATAAGCCCCCTTATCTGATTGGATGGGTATTTACTTAGTTAGGGGGGGAAATGTTGGTTAAAGCAAAAAAAAATACTTTTAAAAATGACCCATACATTCTATTTTAGTTAGGATTCATTTTTGCTGCAAGCAACAGAAACACAAAATAACAGCAACCTAAACAAGATAGAAGCTGATTACTTTTTCAAGTGGAAAGTCTAGCAGTTGATAATCAGGGCTGTTATGGCCCCCCAAAGCATCCTGGGTGTAATAGACACCTTCTTTAACTTCTTGCTTGGAAACCTATGACCTTTGTTCCCAATTTCAGTTTTAGCAATCATGCTACATTGCAGAAGCAAAGAAGAAAAAGAGGAAGGCAAAAACATACACCCAAGGACATTTTCCTAAACTTGCACATACCCTTCTCCTTTCACTTTATCCTCAGAAATGGTGAGATGGTAACACTTAAGCTGCAAGGCCAATGGGAAACACTGACTATTCCACGCAGTTCTGCATCCAGCTGAAAATCAGATTCTGTCTTTATTTAGCTTTTCCTCGGCCTATAACTTAACATTGTACACCGCCTGAAATGAGCTTTGCGTGCATTAGGTCTTCAGTAACTAACCGAGGGTCCGATGCCAACACTAGACAATGCCACCGTCACATGAAATGACCTTTCCATTCAACCCAGAGGTAAACTTTCACAAAATTTCAAATTACTGAGCTTTTGCCATCAAGAAAAATGCTAACACCCGATCAAATATCAGTAGACAGTTAATATCTTAAATGCTACTGGACCTAGATACACTGGCAAATCAAGGTAATCAGGGTTAAACTACATCTGTAAAGCAGGTAGCAAATCATAGAGAGTATTCAGATTCCTAATATGCCATGGTGTGATCAGAATCCTAAGGGGTCTTGGATTCACTAGAATAATAACTCAAATTTAGATGATACAGACTATCAACCTAGTTGATTGCCCTATGGGATAGCTTAATTCTAAGAAGTACCTGGTAATGCTCTCCATTCCCTGGAATATATATCAAAGGAATTCTAAGAAGTTCCTGGTAATGCTCTCCATTCCCTGGAATATATATCAAAGGACCATTTTAAAAGATTATAAAATCTTACCCAGATTACATTGTCCTGCTAATTTGGTATCATCTATTCTTTCCTGCCTCGAGCAATTTGCCCTTATTCTTTTTCAATCCAAAAGACAATCTGTTTATTTTCTACATTTCTAATTGACCTGGAAGCTTATCTAAAGATATAGATAAGGTAAATCTAGATCTAGATATTTTTAAAAATAGCTTCTTCTAATTAAGTGGTTAACTTTTTCCACGTCCTGACTTTTTTCCTTCCCAATGGAAAAGTCTCCTTAAAATTCTGTGTCATACTTTCTCTAATGCTTGCATACATGCATGCCAGTTCTGGAGGACTCTGAAGGAACAAGCTTCTCCTTCTTTTGATTTTTTTTTTCTGTAACTTTCCCCACTACCTTGCCTTACAGATGACAATTAAATTACCCCTCATAACTACAAATTAGGTTCAACACCAAATGCTTTCAGGCACTTACTATAAATGTTAGTGATAGAACACTGGCTCTTAAGGAAGTATTCAGCACTCATACAAACATAGTTGCCTTAAAAGCATTACATCAATGTCTAGATTCTAATTTTTAGATTCTAGATATTTGAGAATATTAAAAAATCCAATACTGTTTTCTTATAAAGACGAATATGCATGTACTTCAAAAATGAAAATATCGCGGTCAACCAGAGACAGTCAGTAATGACTGTCATGTTTTGAAAAAGAAAGGAAATAGACCTTTTGTTCCTTTGTAAAACTTTACTACTCTGCTGGGCTCTGCTCATCAACCCTCTCCTTCAAGACCATAGGAGACATCAAGAATAGATACCTAATTCACAATTACTCCTCTTTATCTCAGAATGGTTCCTACAGAAGTGTGAGGTGGCTTTCTCCATACTATTTGGTCCAATCCCCTGGCCATGGTAGATTGGTCCAGGCAAAGGCAGTCGACCCAAGCTTGGCTAATCAGAATCATTCTCTAGAATTTTTCAGACTATACTACGCAAATAGTCACTATATCCCTGATGGTGGAGGAAGCTCAACAGCTATCCATGGGCATATTTTCTACTATATGGTGCTACATATACCGGACTTAGTGCAATAATTTCCTGAAGAATGCAGTCAGATTTTTAAAATATTTAGCCTTCATCAGAAGTTCTTTTTTCTTTTGCATCCGTTTATGCACTCCCAAATAAGATGTACACAAGGGGAACATTCTGTACGTACATGTTGTAGTGCTAACATGCAATCTGTGTTATGGTGATACCTAGGAAATTAGGTTCCCCTTAAGATTGCCTACTGGATTTTCCGGAAAGCTGAGCTCACAGAAGGCATATTGCATTATTCTTCTGGGAATGTTGGTCACATTATTTTTGCAGTACTCCCTGTTATATGATTTTCTCATTTCTGGTATCTGCTTCAATCATACACCTCACCTCTTTTCCTATAAAGGCAAAATGAAAAGTGGTAGGGAAAATAACGGTTATTGCCTACCTGGAAATATAATGCTTGGGCCCATAGTAGATATTCGATAAATGTTTGGTGAATGAAATAGTTCCAGGAGAGTGTTATGTAATATGTACTGTGACATACATAAGGTATATCTATTAAACTGTCAGATTAACATATCTATCATTCTATTAAGATTATGTATTAGTAGAAGTTACACATGTAAATAAGAGCCATCAAATTCAGATTAGTCACCTTGACTAGGGTAAGCAGCCATTGCTCAAAACAAATTGAACTTTTTTGAGATCATTCTATACTACAGCTTGCTTTGGAATAGCCTTGTGATATTAGCAAATCTCTTGCTTTTAAAATACATTTGACTTTTTTGTTGTTGCTGGGCTAATGATTTAGATCAAATGAAAAAAAAAAATCACTGTCATGAAAAACCTGTAACAGAGCTTGGAAATCATCTAATTAATTATCAAGCCAGGGGATAATATTTTTTTGTTCAGAATAAATAAAGTATGACTAATTTTTTCTGTGGATTAATTTTAGACTGTAACTTCTTTAAAGTAACCATCATCACCTTCTATGGCCCGGGTTTCATCCTCCCAAGAAACCAGCAACATGCGTATTACGCCCACTTTTATTAATAATGGTACTAAGATTCATATGGTATAATAACTTTCTCAAGGCTACACATTCAGTAGGTTATACCATTTAGACAAGTTCATCTTACTCTCTGTCTACATCAGAAGAGATCCTAAAAGCAAGTTTTCATGAAGAGAACCTTCTTCCTTCAATGCAGTTCATTGGATAGGGAGGGGAGGAATTAAGTTGCTTGATTAGCAAGCTAAGCAAGTCTTCCTAGGGAAATTGGAATCGGGGTTGAGCGAGTCATTGTTTCTTTCTCTGAATAGGCCATGTGGGTGACCAAGCTGTGGTGTTGCCCTCTTTTCTCTGCCATATTAATTCAAGAACCAGAGATGATGCACTCTTGAGGAGAGGCATGGACTATCCTATTATCAGTTAAACTTGTTTTTAGCCACCCAGCAGAAGTGACAAGACTACACTGCAGAAAAGAACATAAAATACATGCACAGAAAGGAGTGTATATAAACTGCAGAGAGAGATTTTGGATGGCTTTCTGGACCCTGGTTCTATTTCTCCTCTGATATCCACCTGCATTTCTGTACTTAATTGGTAAACAGCCCTTGTGGTGTTATAGTACATTGTTCTTTTCGATGAAGTCCACTCAACTTTGTGCTAGTTCTCAGTGGGTTTTGTCTGGTCATTTCTCACTTTGCACTTCTAGAAATAGTATACCTCTTCCTTGGGTGTCTTTCCCTCTTTCCTTTTTTTTTTTTTTTACGAAAAAAAATTTATTTATTTTATTTTAATTTATTTATTCATTCATTCACGAGAAACACACAGAGAGAGGCAGAGACACAGGCAGAGGGAGAAGCAGGCTCCATGCAGGGGGCCCGATGCGGGATTCCATCCCAGGTCTCCAGGATCAGGCCCTGGGCTAACGGCAGTGCTAACCCACTGAGCCGGGCTGCCCTCCTCTTCACTTTCTATACTGGTAATGATCTGTCCATTTCGGTACCCAGCCCACATAGGAAAAAAACATGATCCAGGCCAAATCGAATGCTGTAACTGGCTCTCCCCCAGTGATTTGTTACAAATGGCTCCATGACTTAAGCCTGGTTATTCAGAGTACTTTCCTGTGTGTGTGTTTTTTTTTTTTTAATATAAATTCTGGAATAGAGAAATTTTCCTCCTTCTCTGATGTGTTTTTAAGTTGAAATGGTATAAATCTGAAGCTTGCTTTTATTTATATTTTTGTTTGCTTACTTTTTTATTTATAGTATTCCAAGCTCTCTCACTCTCTCTCAGGGATTTAAAAATTAGAAAAACTAGGATAATAATTTTCAGAATGCCTGGGTGGCTCAGCGGTTGAGCATCTGCCTTTAGCTCAGGGTGCGATCCCAGGGTCTAGGATCGAGTTCCGCGTCGGGCAGCTTGCATGGAGCCTGCTTCTCCCTCTGCCTATGTCTCTGCCTATCTCTCTCTCTCTCTCTCTCTCTCTCTGTGTGTGTGTGTCTCATGAATAAATATATAAAATCTTTTTTAAAAAGGAGAAAAAAAGAATAATAATTTTCTTCCAATTTATTTCACAAACGGTGAAGAGATTGAATGCATACAGGCCAGAAGCTTCCTGTATAGTCTTACCTTAAGTTATTTAACATTAGATTTAAATGAGATCTGTTAGTTTTACTTATATGAAATGTTATGAAATAAAATTCCAAATCTATACTGTACATCTTACAGTAAGACATGCATACCGTGTCTCTGATTCTCTAATGATTAAGATAATTCTGGATCAGGTC